GGACTTACTGCGGCCGCGGGCCGCGGGCGCGGCGGGACTCGGCCGGCAGCGGCAGCGGCTAAGGGGAAACCCCTGTCGCCGCGGTGAGGAGCAGCAGCCGTGTTGCTGAGGGGAGGGGACCGGTTTGGAGAAAGGCAGGCTTAGGCGGCGAGGGGAGGGCGAGCTGACAGACCCCGCCCCGGGGGCCGGCCGAGGGAGGAGTCGGGGCTGCGGCGAGCGGAGGGGCGGGCTAGGCGACGCGCGGGAAGCAGCTCAGCCACCGCCCACGACACCGGAGGCAGAGCCGGCGACCGCGCAGCCCAAGGAAGCCGATTGGCCAGGTGTCCACGGAGGCGGGTGGCGCGGACCGGAAACCAGGCCACGTGACCCGGAAGGGGCCTCTGCCGGGGCCGGCGCGCCTGCGCACTGGCGCCCCTGCTCCCGGGGTGCGCGCAGGCTGCTTCCCGGGCTTCGTCTGTGGCGGGTGGACGGGGTTCCGTGGCGTGCTTTGCGGATACCGCCGTGCCGGGCATTGAAGCCCCCGACCTCGAAGAGCCACGTTCGTGCTCGGATCACTTTCCATGCCTCTAAGAGGCTGGGACAAGGGAGGTGTGACGGCCGGGGATAATGGTGGAAGGGGTCTGCAATTCCTGGGAAATCAAATCAGCTCTTTGTGGAGCTCGTGCAAGCGGTCAGTGGTGCTTTTGCAAGTATTCCGCCTCAACTCTTCGGAACCCGGCCCCTGCCTCCCATCGCGCGGCTACAGCCGTAGTCTAGACACCTTTCGCCCCATGCTTTGCAAGAGTCTCTTTCCTGGGTTTGCCTCGCCTATCCTAAGTGCTGCGGACCCGATAGGTTACTGTCCGTTCACTGCTGAAAAGTCCAGACAGCCTTTCAGATAGAGTCCTGTTTCCGTCACAGGGGGGCTGCCCCCTACCCGCCTGGGTTCGGTTTAGCTTTGCCGACGATTTGCTCTGCCTGGCGTGCCCTTTCTCTTAAAAGTCACCTCTTCTGTGAGGACTGACCCTAAAACCCTGTAAAAACGAGTTGCTCTTTCACCCATGTGCGCGTTGGCCTCCACTGAGCACATCATCTTGAATTGTATTCCATTTTGCATCCTCAGCCTATTCCACTGCCTGGCCTATAGCAACTAATAAATATGTGAGTTGACTGATAAGGACTCTAAAATGATAGATTTGTTAAGACCCGGAATGCTGAGCCTAGTGCCTGGCACATTTATTTTTCAAATGAATTGATGAATCATCTAGTCCAACTCATCTTTTACAGATGAGGAAGGGGGAGCCCCACGGGATTAAGTGACCTTGCTTGAGCAGCCACGGGTTTCCCATGTTGAATGCTATTCATTACCCCAGTCTCCTGAGTTCTTACAAAGGAAGCTAGAAAATTGTTCTTGTTGGGCCATACCCTTTTTGCAGAGGTTCCCGAACAGTCTCCAAGATTTTTTGATGGTTCCTAGTAAAAAATGCTAAATTTTTCATGAAGCTAAATTTAATCAATTTAAAGGAATTCTTTATTAAAGATTGTGTTCTTTTTGTGTGTGGGGGCTAAAATGTCTTTATAAAATTGAGGTAGTATATAACAGGGGCATTTTTTTAATGCCTTTCTTTAGCAAAATAAAAACTGATAGTGCTTTCCCTTGTTAAGCACTAGTATTGCTGCTTGGAAATTTTTCTACTAACCTGTGTGATTAATGAATATTGAAATACAAAAGAAATTGCCAGGAAAAGCACAGAGCTGGCTATCTGTAGTTCTTTAGGCCCCCACCCAAATTTCTCCCAGCTCCCTGGCCCAGTCATGCCCCAAAGGCACGTTCCGATTACTACACAAAACAGATGCCATTCCTTCAAAGATTGTTCTGATGCTATGCAATGAAACCCACCCTCTAATTCCAAATGCTGCTTTCTCTTTTTTCCGTACAAAACATCTATATCCCCAGGGTTCCAGAGGTAGCCACTTCCAAGTTTAAACTCATTGGTTATGCTCCTAATGTTGGTCTGTGGCTCAGAAAATAAGGCTGGAGACTAGCTGATTACACGTTGGCAGTCGATGGGGTTCTTAGCCCACAAAAGTGGGGTGGGGGTAAGGGGAAGAAGGAACTATGGGAAAAATAATTAGCTGCTGAAAGCAACCATTACATAATCTTGGCTGCTTATTAATTTAGCAAAAGGAATGGCTTACTAAATTCTAATAGCAACAGCACAACTGCAAACAACCTACCAATTAACAGCGCAAGGCCCATTATTTTGTTAATATGTTCTCTGCTTTTGGCAAGTGTATGAGAACAAAATTTATAGAAGCAGATGGTCTTTTTCAGTAGATTATGGATGGTTTATTCCCTAGTTTTAATATTTAAGTGCTAATTGTGCATTCACCGTGAAAGACAAAGCACTGTTGGCGTCTTTGTTAGTAATTAATGGCTTGACTTTGATTCCTAAAATTTCCGAATTGTGGGCTTTATTATATCCACATTTCTCACTGAGTATCTTCTTTATCTGTCATTTCAATAGGGTATCGTTTTTAATCCCCTGCTTTTGTTACCTGGGTGGTCCCAATTTCTTGGTGTTAATAACAGTACAAAAAGTATTTTTATGAAAAATTAAAAATCGGATTTTATAATTATCTCTTAAATTTTAAGAAAAGTACAGCCTTTAAACTTACGCTAAATACAAAAGGTCAGGATAAAATAGGGCTTCTCCCTTCTAATATTAAATTTTTGAGACTTTATGAAATCAATTAAAAAGTTTTCAAATATAATATTAGTACCTCTTATTAAATGTGGTGTTATGGCCACATGGTTTGATCTTCTCTCCCTCTCAAAATGCCATGAAATGAAAAAGGAATGTTTAAAACATCAACACAAGGATGTCAGAGTAGACTAGTGGCTCTGGAGCACACTCGACTTACATCATCATTTAAACACTGACGATTTAAATAAAAACTGTAACATTTATATTGAGAAAACGCAGGAGCAGAAATGAGGGGATGTTGAAATAATGTTAAATCCTCCTGCATTATCAGGAAGAAAATAGATAACATCTAAAATAAATCAAGAAACAGGGATTATTAGCATAGTCTTTAGATAAACCAAACCTGTTGCTGTGAAGTCCGTTCGGACTCGTGGCAACCCCATGCGTTACAGAGTAGAACTGCTCCATAGGGTTTTCTTGGCTGTAATCTTTACGGACAGAAGCAGATTGCCAGGCCTTTCTTCCGTGGTGCCGCCAGGTGGGTTCAAAACGCTAACCTTTCAGTTAGTAAGTAGTCCAGTGCAAACCATTTGCACCACCCAGGGACCTTACTGTTTAAGTAAAACCAAACCCTTTGCCATCGAGTCATTCTGACTCATAGCTACTCTGTGGGACAGTAGAACTGCGTCATATGGTTTCCAAGATGATGAGTTGGAGTCGACTCAAGGGCAGTAGGTTTATGGGTTTAATTTTTATGGAAGCAGACTGCCTGCCACATCTGTTTCTCCCATGGAGCGGCTGGTGGATTCGAACTGCCTACCTTTCTGTTAGCAGCCGAGTGCTTAATCTCTGTGCCACTAGGGCTCCTTAGTCTTTAAATACCAGGAAGTAAATTCCAGAAGCAATGGCAAATTTCTTTCTAGGGATGGAGTCTTGAGGTGGGATGTAATAAAGGCTATTATTACATTTTATTTTAGTGCCAGTTTTACTTAAAAACAAACAACCAAACCCGTTGCTGTTGAGTCTATTGCGATTAATAGTGACACTACGGGACAGAGTAGAACTGCCCCATAGGGTTTCCGAGGAGCGGCTGGTGGGTGTGAACTGCCGACCTTTTAGTTAGCAGCCTAACGCTTAACCATTGCACCACCAGGTCCCCAAAGATTGTAATGAACTTGATTTAAAAAAAAAAGTCAGTGCTACCACTATATTGTGGACTTGTACGAGTTCTTAAGCCAGTGTATATATTTTCTAGAAATTATTAAATAAAAATACCTAGCCGTGAAAGTCAGTGCTGAATCAGTGTAGAAAATCACAGTAAATGTAAAAACAGATCCTCAGAGTTTATGAATTGCATTTCTGAAGATAAAGTTGTTCCAAGGAGAAAACTGGCCGAAAATAATGAGGATTTGTGAATCAAACCATTTCAAAATAGACAAAGGTGTCGCTGCCAGAGTCCTCAACAATGAGTTAAAGAGAGCTGTGGAACATATGCTCTTCCTTGAAGCCTGTTTCCAGAGCTTTGAATCAAATGCAATATTAGGTTAGAGCCCTGGCTGTCAATCAGGGGCGATTGTGTCGCCCCAGGGGACACTTGGCAGTATCTGGAGACATTTTGGTTGTCACAACTGGGGGGAAGGATTCTGGGGTGCTGCTAACCATCCTACAATGCACAAGAATTTTCCTTAAGGACTCCTGCTCTAGAGATTCAGAGTTGCCTTAGATTACAGCTGAAGCGTTTCATTTCAAGCATCGGGTCAAAAGGACATTATTTGAAATCGTTTTATTTAAAACATATCGAATCTCTCATATCGCAACCCCCGCACAACAAAGAATTATCCAGCCCAAATGTCCTTAGGGCCGAGGTTGAGAAAGCTGGGTTAGTCACTGAAAAGGTTAACATGGAGTAACAGAGATCTTTTTTAAACATTTCAAGAAACGGAACATGCACTATCTTCATATACTTTTTTTTTTCTCTTGGAGGGATTGGAGGCATTATTTTTAATACATAGTAGGTAAAATCTTTAACTCCTGATAAGACTGACCACATATGTTAGGCAGGCAGTTTTCTTTAATAGTAACTAAAAGAAGCTATCAAAGTGGGATTTTTTTTTTCAAAGTGACCCCGGAATATTAGTAGAAGTTACTTAAGAACCTGAATCCATGAGATCCTAGAATGCTCCCCCCCACACCGTCCCTTAAGTGTTGTTCCATCCACTTACTCATTTGCTCATAAATGTTTGTAATGTAGGAGCCCTGGTGTCACAATGGTTAAGCTCTTGGCTGCTAACGGAAAGGTCGCAGTTTGAGCCTACCCTGTGGCTCCACAGGAGAAAAGACCTGTGGATCTGCTCCTGTAAAGATTACAGCCTTAGAAACCGTAGGGGGCAGTTCAACTCTCCTACAGGATTGCTAGGAGTCAGAATCAACTCCAGGGCACA